CTGTGTTTCTTTACGCACCTGAGCTGAGACTGATTAAACAAGACTTCTGCTTTTTATTGCAGCAGCTTAAGTCCTCACACCTCATTACAGAGCTCTTGATGTGCTCCCCTTCTCTGCATCCTCAGAGCTCCTCCCAATGCCAAAATGAGACTCCTTGGGCCCTTCAGACTTTCCTTTGGTAGCTTGGGCTCATATTGCATCTGAAGTGCCAAGTTGTTGCACAAATTATATTTTAAAAAATAATCTTTAAAGCTATTGTTAGCAACAGTGAGTGAATGCAGGTGATAAAGGACAAAGTGACCTAGTGCTCTTCCTAGCAGAAGGATTTTGCTAAAGCCACGTGTCTTCAACAAAACGCATGACTTGTTTTCCCTTAACTATATTGGCTACAAACACAGACATGGGAATTTAATCCAGCTCAATTGCTCCCATGCCAGAGAGTGCGGGCTAACCACGACCCTCAGATGTTACTGCCTCCTTGGGAGAGAGGGAAGGAACTGGTGCAATGGGCAGAAAGGGAAGGAAAATGTACCAGGATAGCAATGAAGACTCTTTGGAAAGTTGGTTGTGTCCCCTGACTGATGCGTCATGACCAGAGCATGGAGGATCAAATAGCCCTGGAATTTCCCAGGTGATATTCAGGTGTCTGTTTGCTCTGCTCTTCCCTTTGGATCCAGCTAGGTATTACACAACCTACCTGAAAAGATAATGCCAATCGCTCAGCTCTGGGGAAAAGGAGATGTTCTTTTTTTTTTTCGGAAATCACTGCTCTTATTTGCTTTAGATGTTACAATGTCGCTCTGCCCAGGGAGAAGCGTCTTTAACATCGTTTCTTCATTTGATGAAATTTTAAAGGGTTTTAGAGCAAGCTGAGGGACTTTACAGCTACTGTTCCAGTTTCCCTACCATCTGGTTGCTTCATGGATTTTCTGTGTATTCCTGTATTTTATTTTTTTAGCCCAGTTTCCTAAGAAAATGAAGCTCTCGTACTGCACGTGTGTACTTGTCCACCCATCTATGTGTGTTTTCCTGTACTATCAGCTTGGACCTTCTGCTCCACCTCAGTCAGATTTGTGGGAGAGATGGAGATCTCAATTTTACCATTTTCCCAGGTTTCCCCACCGGCATTGTTTCTGCCCGGTCTGTTTGATGCCTGTGGGGCAGTAGCTGTGGGGCTGGTCAGCATCCAGTACCTGTGAGCCCAGGTGGCATACAACCTGCTGGGCAGCAGCTAGGATCCACCAAATTACAGCTGAATAGAAAAGGCAAATACATGGTCCTGGCCAAAGCGTAGTACCCAGGCAGTGCAAATGTTGTTGTGTGTTGTGTGCCTGAGGCTGTAAAACCAGGATCAACTCCTGGGCATCATTTTGCGCTGAACGTAGGAAAGAGGTTAGCAAGAAATCTTTTCCGAATTGATAACTACCAAGGGATATTCAGGGTCAATACAAATTGATCCTGATTCCATCTCCTTGACTGATACTTAAGCTAAACCTTCCAGTTTAATAGTTGTGTGGATTTTAAATTGGGTCTGAAAGCCTTTTTAAAAAACATATCACAAGAGCTGGTGAAGAATGCAAACCGGAGCGAGCGTAGACATGTGAGCATCGTGTAACTGCCTTTTTTTCCTGACGGCAAATTGCTTACAAATGTCTTATAAATTTCACAAATGTGGTTGTGTTGAAAGCAACGAATGAGGCTGGCAGTGCTGCTGCCGGGCGTTACGGGGGATGTAACCTGCTGGTGAGCTTGGCGCAGAGACTGAAACCTTGGCAAGGTACCATGGTAACATTTCCATACACATGTTTATGGGTTCTTTGAGGGCTTTTTGGTTAAATGTCAATGTTTTCATGATATTATTCAAGGAGATTTCATTGCTCCAAAATCCCACTATGCCTTTGAAAAATGCTTTCAGTTTGCAAGTTGCTCAGTGGAAAATGGGTTTGTCTTGACTGCTTGGAGATGGAGAGCAAAGCTCACTGCTTAGCTGCCTACTCGGAGGTTTGTTGTACAGCTCTGTAAAATGGGGCAAGAGCCAGGGCATCTTCCCCACTCCCGTCCAGAGGAGGTGAGTGCACATTGCTGAAAATTTAACAGGTTGAAGAGATAGAAACTTGCCAGCACCCTGCACACCAGCACCAGCATGTGCTGCTGACTGAGCACCCGGGAAGGGCATCACCGTGGTGTGGGATGGATCCTATCAGCAGCACCAGTTCACTTACAGTTTGAGTTTACCCAGGGTCTCAGCTGGCACTGGAAGGAACAGTCACAGGCCATCTTAAGGTTACTGTGTTTCTAACATGGACATTCTGGCTAAATTCAAAATGAGCCTGGACCAATCTGGCTGTGCTAGGACAGACCTCTTGTTCCCAGGCAGGCATTGGGCACCTACATATTTCCATTAAGCTTTGTGTTTCAACACAGGGTGCTTTGCAAAACATGGTGCTTTGCTTTATGAGCTCTCCCACAACCCACACCTTGCAATGCCCCTTTTTGACATTTTGTCCTCCCGTGCAGGCTCGGTTTTAACAGCAGGCTCCCGTCTGCAGGGTGCTGAGCGCTCATGAAGCGCGGCTGCGCATCCTTGTTTGGACATCTGGCACTGGAGCTGCTGCTGGTCCGGTTTTGAGCATCTCTTGTTAAAACTGGAGGCAGGCTGAGAGCTGCTGAATTCCTGAAGCTCTGCAGGGTTTCTGTTGAATAATATTGCAATTTTAAAAAAAAAAATATATATATACACCTAGGCAGTAGAATTTAATCCAGGATTTCTCACTCCAGGATATCACTGGTCCCCCCCAGTACTAAAATGCATTACAAGATCCCATGTGGGAGTTGATCTTAAGCACTTCAGCCCTCAGGGGAGATGCATTGTCATTTCTTTTTTTTTTTTTTTAATGGTTGTAGACGCAAAGGCACAGAAAGTGATTTCAGAAATGCTTTAGTGCATGTAAATCCATGGTTTGCAGCTACTCCAAGCGTGGATGAGCTCAGGGAGTGTGAGGGGCTGAGCCCTCTCCACCCAGGGGCCGGGGCAGGCGGGGGCTGGTGTCAGCCCCAGCCCCCTGGGCTCATCGCACGCTGCGTTTGCAGTGCAAGCTCACCCCGCAGCTCTGCCTGGGCCGCTGCAGGTGTTAGATTTAAATCTCTTTAATTCAATAGGGTTTTGAAAATCAGTGTAATTGCTTTTACATTGCACGTGTGATTATTGAGAGAAAACATGGATCGATCACTGACTGAATACTTAGTGGTGGGACTGGAAGCTAATGAAGATGCTGCAAAGGGCTGGAGGTGTCTCTCCATCCCTGTTTGCTGGGACCTAGAGCGGTACCAAAGCTGGTATCGCCTATGTGTCTCCCTGTGGGTAGGTAAAATTCCTGTCTTAGTGCAGAGCAATATGTCAGAGTGAGCAATATATCAGAATGAAATACATTAATTGGCAAGTGCTGGGAAATTACAGATATGCTTAATGAAAAAGAAAACCTTGTTTACGGTTTCTAATGTGCTGCTGAAGAAACTGGCTCCCAAATAAAAATACTTAAAATTACGATTAGGATTTATTTACATAATTACTGCAAGAGAAATTCTAGGTACGTGCTAAGCAGTGCAAGAGAAACCTCATGGCTTTTCTTCTTTGCTTTCCTGTGTCTTGAGGTTAGTTTGCTCTTGGTGAGTCTATTAAAGCTTTTACTAACTCAGTGAGGCAAGAAAGCATTTGCTACAAAATTAATGCATTGATATGTATATATATATATTTGTTTTATTGACTGTGGTAAGAACATATGGCTGAGTAAGAGCCAGATCATCCTTGTAATTGTAGTGTTGGCTGGAGAACGATTCAGTAGGTGGTACTTATCTCTTTATGGCAAAGCAAGCTGATGTCCTGGCATGGCTGTAGTGAGAATGCCCTTGGAGTTTGTTTCCAAGGGCTGTGTCACCCACTGGTGTGTGCAAGATCTGCCAAAGTTGCCATATAAATTTATATTAATGGTCTGTTCCAAACTGTACTGCCCAGCGTGTCCTGGCCATCCTCCAGCCCACGAGGAGACCCTGGGCCAGATCCTCGGCTGATGTCTGGGTGGCTCTGTTGACTCTGTTGATTTATATCTGCTGGAAATGTACTGTACGAAATGCAATAGGCCCATGATGGGGCTGCACTGATTGAAACCAGCCAAGGGTATGACAAATCTTCCTCTTAATATTTCAATTGACTTTGGCAAACTTGCCTCTTTCTTGTGTATCCTAAATCAATGTGTAAGTGCTGCTGACAGTAATTTCCACTTTTGTCTGTGCAGATGGCTGCCCTTCACTAGGCTGCGGTGTTTATACCTGCTAAGTTTGCAAACACTTTTCTGCTACAGCCTCCCATTGAGCAGTATTTTTCCTTAGCTGTCATATTTGTGAGATGAAAATGTTCTTTGCTGGGCCTTGCTCGAATGTGAATTTTTTTCTTTCACTGAGGGCCACTGAAGTTTGGAGCAGAGGCACTGGTGCAACGATCATCTGGCTCAGCACGGATACTCTGGGCGGGGGGGTTGAACCATCTTCGGGGTCTGGATGCTCCAGAGCCGGGTCTGAGAGCTGGTGTCCAGATTCCTGCATGGCTTTGAAAGTCATGCTGCTGGATTCTATGACTTTTTAATTGCATGTCAATGCAGACCCCTCTGCACTATATAATTATTATCAAATAGCAAATCTCTAGGCTGAAGGCTGCAGTATGAGAGCTGAAGACTGATACTTTCCTAAGGCACCACTGTTCTGTCTCTGCTAACTCTTGTTCGGCATAAAGAAAAAGCTGCTTCTTTTTTATTTGTTTAGCTCCTGTCTTAGACAGTAAATAAAATCTGCAATCCATCAGTCATGCACCCAACTTCAGTGTGTGTACCCTGGTGTAGGATGCTTTAGTCCAGCTACTCTTTCAAAGCAGGCTATTGCACTATTCAAATAAAACAAAGACAAATAATTAAAATAAGCCTTTCTCTTCCCTTTTCTCCTGTGACCAGGGAGAAGATGCCATTCCACCATGTAACAGCTGGCTTGTTGTACAAAGGCAACTACCTGAACCGCTCACTCTCTGCTGGCAGCGACAGCGAACAGCTAGCAAATATCTCCGTGGAGGAACTGGATGGTAAGCAACGTCCTTTTGGTTTTCCAAAGGGGGCTGGAAGTGGGGAAAAGCTTGTTTTCACGTTCTCTGTAGCGTTGTCTTGCAGTAACTGGAGATATTCTCCCTGTGAATCAAGGACCAAAAGACAGGTCAGAACTGAGATGTCTCAGCAGGTCAAGGACAAGGAAGAGGTCCTCATCCAAAGTTATGTTGAGAGCTGTAGACTGATTTTAGCCTCAGATTTTGTCCTTTGCCTGGAAATAAGGCAGCTTTTTGAAAGAGTAAGGCTGCTTTTTGTGGGCAAAACTTGGCAAGAGAAAAAGTTAAGCTAATATCTTTTTATAAAGATGCCTTTAGCCTTTCCTGGGAACCTGCAGAGCTGAATCTGTCTTTCTAGCAAGTCTTCTCATTTGCTTTGTGGCCTTTCGAAAGTGAGGTTTCTCTCTGTGTCTCAGCATAACAAGATGCATGGAAGTGGTTTGTGGCTTAAGAAGCTGGAAAGAGCTTTAAAATTCCCTTTTTCAGGTCAGTGATTGGGAGCACAGACCAGTCTCGGGCTGGCAAAGGCTATCAGCAAGGTTGTCCACATCTGCTGCCTGTAGGATCCCATAATTTCCTCCCTAGAAGCTGGTTACTGCTAGCTTCTTCTGCCCTGCAGATGGGATGTGAGGCCACATAGACTCTCAGTCTGGTTCATGGTGGGGAGGTCTCTTTCCTAGGCTATTTGTGGCTCACCAGGGTCATTTCTAAGCAAAAGTTAATATTGTTGACAGCTGGCCTTTGAGGGCTGTAGAACAAATTGAAGCTCTTGGTTTGCTTCCCAGTGGACATTTGGTACAAGCCATGATCATAATCGGTGGTCTCAGTGGATAACTTAATGAGGAAATTAGCAGGGGAATAGTGCAAAGTAGAAATGGTTCTTCCAGGGCACGTTGGAGGCATTTTGGTAAAACAGAAGGCCAACATTTTTACTCACCCTTCCCCTTTTCATCTGTGCTGTGGTAAATCAGACCTTTGTTTTCAAGCCTTTTCAACTTGAAGCCTTTGGATTTGATTTTGGAAGGTTAATGTTAACTTATCTTAAGTACAAACAGTGTTTTGTGAGTATTTGTAACTGCTTTTTTTCTTCCCAGTGAGTGTGTGCTGAATGCAGTTCAGGTGAGAGATGCAATGTGAGAAACTACTTTCAGCGCAGCTTAGCTAACACCCCAGGAGCACAAAGACCACAGAGGCATCTTCTGGGCTTTTCTCCTGGGTTACATGAGCTTTGCTTGAGGATTTGAGTTGGTGAGCAGAACTGAACTGATTTAGCAGAACTGAACTGATTTAGCTTCTGTGCATCCTATAGATGACAGATTATGTTGCAAGGTAAAGCTTGGCTGTTGTCCCTATTCAGGATGACAGGGGCTGGCTGAGCAGACAGAAGGATGTTGGATGAGGTCTCGCAGTTTATTTCAAATGCCGAGAGCAAGGGTTTTTCTGCTATGCCTAACCTGATTAGAGCACGTCTGCTGTAATTGCCTTTGAGATTTGCAGACTCCCATCAAGAGCTGATTCAAGTGGCCTCAGGGCTGCAACCCACTGTCAGGGCCACCCCGTTGCATGAGGGAAACTTGTCCTTGATTTGTTCCCCTGCTGTTTGCATGGACGTGGTCTGTGGCTGGACACGGGAGGGAAGCCCAGTTTCATTTCCATCCTTCCCGTGTCTCCCTGCCGTCAGCCCGAGCCACGTCTGCAGGGTGGGAGCAGCGGCTGCGGGAGGCGGCGGAGCACAGCCCCACGGCCAGAGCCGCCTTCCCCGCGGAGGAGGAACCAGCACTCATGAGGCTGTGGCTCATCTCCGTTAATTAACGGCAAATGAAGTGAATTAGGTGTAGAGGAGCTGTCTTTTGAGAAGGCAGCAGCCGAGTCGCCGCTAATGCGAGTGCTGCGTCCATTTAATGTGGTTGGTGCCCCATTATAACTGTGCTATTGAACTGGAGAGCAGCAGAGTACATTCATCTCTGTTCACAAAGAGTATCCCCCTCGTTCTTCAGGAGAATGGCTAGAGATCTTTAACTAATCATCCATTTATTCTGTGGCTGTTAAGCACAGGCTTCTTGTTAGAATTTAGTTATATTTTTTTTTGGCAGCCTTTTGCTTTACAAACACCTATTTTCGAGGGCTTTGTGTCTTTGTCATGAAGATATGCCCCACTTCTTAGCCTAGCAGAGAAGAGCTCAACCTCAGGCCATTTTTTTTCCCACCTGCAAACACAGAAGTGGTGCCAAATAGATTTGTGTCTGCTAAAGCCAGAGCAGCATAAGAAGCCAGATATACTTTTCTGTGTGTCAGCTACCAGAGTACAGCCTAGCCACCGGAAATTATATGTAATATTAGGTCAGCAGTCACTATCTTACTGTGTTTTGTCACTAATACTAGATCAGTGCCTGGATGTGCTGGTGGTAATTGGTGTAAGTACCACTGTTCACTGCCCAAACCCAAAACAGAAATAGTCTTTCTGCCTTTAAGCATAAACTATCTCAGGGTAACAAAATGTTCTTCCTTGAGAAGTTAATGTCAGTGTATGGGAGCTTTGTGGATATATCAAGCTGTGATAGCTTGATGCCAATAACATATTTGCATTTAAACTTACAGGCTGGGAAAGAGATGCCAAATTCTCCTTGGTTTCTTTTTCAATGAGATTTTGGTCCTGAGGGAGTTCCATCCTATTGAGAAATTCCAGTCACACATATTAAATTATTAAAGGTTTGAAGCTGGGGAAGTCAGTGGGAATTTTCTATAATGCTCCTCTGCGCTCAAAGCTCCAACAAGTGCCTGATCTGTCAGGTTTTTTCCAGCAGATTTTTTTTTTTCTTTTTTTTTTTTTTTTTTTCACGTTTAGCATTGCATGTCTTAACGCCATTCACTTTGTGAAGGATTTCTGCAAGTGTGGGCTCTGAGATGCTGCAGGGCAAAGGCGCTGTGCAGCCTGGCTGGAACGCAACGTGTCTGCCCCTGCACGTCCCTGCAGTCAATATCGACGTACGCACCATGTTTGCAGCCTGCGGGCAGTGGATGGAGGATAATATGGAGATCAGGAAATGAAAAATATTGCTGACTTTAAGTAATATAAGAGGGAAGGAGTCAAGGTTTTTGGATGATCGCGCTCCATTCAGAGCAGCGTGCTTAGGGTGCTGTTCTACCTCTTCTCCAACCGGTTATTTTTCTCCTGTGAAAACTTTTCTGACTTGCATCAGCCATCTGTCGACTTTAACTCCGCTCTGTTTTTTTCCATCCTGCTTTAAATACTATGCTGGCAGCAAAGAAAGAGGCTGGAGAGATAGCAGGTCACTCTGCTGATGGCTTGTCTATTCCTAGCAGCGGTGTTTGCTATTTGCAGTTCTGTAGTAGCGTGAGGGTTTTTAGAAGCTGTCACCATCACAAAAGGAATTAACTTACAGAAAGCTATATTAGGCGATACTTAACTTTGTAACATCAAGTCAATGAAGTTGAAAGTGGCAGGTCATCCATAACCTGTCTCTTAGGGACTGCAAAGTGTGATGGGGTCTCGGATGGATGTTATTGCCATATGCTTCTCAGTTTCTATGTATGAGATTATAAATTAAGGCTGGGGGAAATTTTACATATAGATTTCCTGGCTATTGTTGGTTGACACAGTTTGTGCATACTCTGTGGTTTCCACATCCTTTTTAAAATCAGCTTCTGTCTTCACATTACAAACCTCTAGGAGTATTTTTAATAAAAAATGGTGGATGGAAATCATCATGTCAAGCTTGAGTCATCCACCTCCATAGGCACTATCTAAAGGGTATTGTCATGAGGTAAAAACATTCCCATAGTAGGAATCTGACAAATATCACCTGAAGGGAGGCACATGCATTATAAGTAGGTTTTGCAAAAAGTGTCTGTGAAATACGTGCTAGTCAGTGCCTTGCAGAGAAAACCCAAATGTGAACTGCAGCAGCTATTTGTCCAGAAAGGCATCATGATAAATCCTTACCTGACCCAGATTCCTTTGAAATCTGCAATGCCTGTGCAGGAGGAAACATTGCTGTGTGGCAGCAGGACAGCTACTAGCATCTGGTGCCTTAGACTGCGTAGCCCCTGCCCCAGCTGGGGTCTGTGGTACCTACAAGTCTTTTTCTAGGCTGGGAGATTTTTTTCTTTTTTTTTTGTGGTTGTGGACATCAACTTGGCTGGTTTGATGCAGTCCTTAAGGTTGAGATCCAGAGTGGAAATGCCACTGCATGATTTTGCCTGCCTAAACTGGAGAAGTCAGCCGAGCAACAAATGAAATGGGGGCGAAGCTGTGGCTGCGGGAGCTTGGGGTGCAGTAGATTCCAAGGCAGGAATGTGGGGACTTCCCTCACCAGAGGACTTTTCTATATACACCACATTTCAGGACGTGCTTTACCTGGTTTCTGCTTCTTCCTAGCAAGCTCCCTTCTGTCACCTGCAGAAGCTCTTAACTGGGTTGCTCTTTCCTGGGCTCCTGCATAAAGGTTAACCACGAACAGCGTCAGTGTATACTGGGAAACAGGTCTTCAAATAATTTAAATGGCGTGGTTAAATGATGCCCCATATGGATTTTAAATTAATAGTTGTCTCCCACATGCTAATAATGCAGGTGATGCCAAGTGGCTGAAGGTGTGTTGGAGCTGCAGTGGGTTCTGGAGTCCCAGCAGCGTGGCAAGGTGGCCAGTCGTGGGGCTGGTGGCTCTCTGGGTCCCTGCTGGGAGGTATGCTGGGTCAAATAGTCCCACACTGCAAACACAGCCATGCCATCCTAGCCCTGCCTCTGAATATAAGGCCAAAATCGGGTGTTTACCCTCTTGTGCACGTCTGATATGATGGTCCTTGGAAGCGGTAAGTCCTGGGGAAGGAGGGACTGTAATGCTGCAGAGCACTGTCACTATGCAGTCTTGCTTGGGGGGTTGTTATTTAGCAGAAATGCCATGAGCCATGAGGGTTGTGGCTGATTCAGATCCTAGTTCACTCTTGTGTTATCAGAAGGGCTT